TTTTTTTTTTTTTTTTTTTTTTTTTTTTTTTTTTTTTTTTTTGTACGTGCTTTTTTTTCTTTCATATTTTTCAATGAATGTTTGGTTTCCTCCCATAGAACCCTGTTTGTGTCATTTTGTATGCCTCCTGGTTGGTTTTTTTATTTTTGTTAGAATTTATTTTTGATATTTTTTTGCTTGTGCAGTTTGGAGGTACAAAGTTCCGACAAATTGAGGAAATTTTTCACAAAATATCATCTTGGTCCAGTGGATTCTTTTGATGCCATGACTGTCCTTGCCAATTTGCGTCTTCTCACCTATTCAGAAGAGATTGTAGATGGACAGCCGATTTATGTTTCCTCAAATTGTCTTCCAATTAAGGCTTTTAAGTACGAACCTGCTGGCCATGCTTTCCATAATGCTGCCCTCAAACTCCTTGGTTGTGAAGATGAGGAAGTGAGTGATGACAATGAGCAGACGTCTGATGATGCAGAACAGAAATATGCTCCATCATTTGATTCATATAGTAGCAAAGGTAAAAAGAAATCTGGTGGATCCACCCAACAAGATCATTATGCATTGTTGGGTTTGAGCAATTTGAGATATCTAGCCACAGAGGAACAGATAAGAAAAAGTTATCGTGAAACTGCTTTGAAGTATCATCCTGACAAACAAGCTGCACTTCTTCTTGCCGAGGAAACTGAAGCTGCAAAACAAGCAAAAAAGGATGAAATAGAAACTCATTTTAAATTGATTCAAGAAGCTTATGAAGTGTTAATCGATCCTGTCAAAAGAAGAATTTATGACTCAACAGACGAGTTTGATGATGAAGTTCCAACTGATTGTGCTCCACAAGATTTCTTTAAGGTGTTTGGTCCAGCTTTTATGAGGAATGGGCGTTGGTCTGTAAACCAATCTATTCCATCATTGGGTGATGATAAAACACCATTGAAAGAAGTTGATGATTTCTATAACTTTTGGTATAGCTTTAAAAGTTGGAGGGAGTTCCCACACACTGATGAATTTGATCTTGAGCAAGCAGAGTCTCGGGACCACAAGAGGTGGATGGAGAGGCAGAATGCTAAACTTTCAGAAAAGGCTAGAAAGGAAGAATATGCTAGGATTCGTACTCTAGTAGATAATGCTTACAAAAGAGACCCTAGAATACAAAGAAGGAAGGAGGAAGAGAAAGCTCAAAAGCAGAGGAAGAAGGAAGCAAAATTTTTGGCAAAGAAGTTACAGGAAGAGGAAGCTATTAGGCTTGCTGAAGAGGAGAAACGAAGGAAGGAGGAGGAGGATAGACGAGCGGCAGAAGTGGCTCAACAACAGAAAAAGGTGAAAGAGAGAGAGAAGAAACTCCTGCGCAAAGAACGGACTCGTCTTAGAACGCTTTCTGGGCCTATTGTATCTCAGTCTTTGCTTGATCTTTCTGAGGAAGATGTAGAAAATCTCTGTTCATCTCTTAACATTGAGCAGCTGAGAAGTATTTGTGATAAAATGGAAGGAAAAACAGGAATGGAGCTTGCCAAAGTTCTTAAAGACGCACAGGAATGCAGTAATTCAGAGAGAGAGCAACCAGAAGGCAAGAAAACAGGACACCAGAATGGGTTTACATCTGCTAATGCTGGGACCCCATTAAGCAGCAGCCTTCCGAAGAAGGAGAGGCCTTGGAGTAAAGATGAAATCGAGCTCTTAAGGAAAGGTATGCAGAAATATCCTAAAGGAACTTCTCGTAGATGGGAGGTTATCTCAGAGTACATTGGTACAAAAAGATCTGTCGAAGAAATTTTGAAGGCAACCAAAACGATCCTCTTACAGAAGCCCGACTCTTCGAAAGCTTTTGACTCATTTCTTGAGAAAAGGAAACCAGCACAGTCCATTGCATCTCCACTTTCAACTAGAGAAGAATTAGTAGGTTCGACCTCTCAAAAACCCGAAGACAATTCAGCAACTAACGGTAATCTTGACATGTCTTCAAGCCAAAATGTAAACAACCAAACTCCTAACGATTCATCTGCAAATGGAGTATCCTCTAGTTCAGATCAAGATGATTGGTCAGCTGTACAAGAAAGAGCACTAGTCCAAGCTCTGAAAACATTCCCAAAGGAGACCAGCCAGCGATGGGAGCGGGTTGCAGCCGCCGTTCCTGGGAAGACAGTGAACCAATGCAAGAAAAAAATCACATCAATGAAGGAGAGCTTCAGAAACAAAAAGAATGCTGCTTAGTTACTGAGGTTTCTTTCTTATGGTGGGCAAAAGTGGTCTTTAAGGAGAAAATTGTTTCCAAATTTATTTATATCGAAAAGGGTTCATCTGGATATCCAACCGATTGATTCTTCACGAGGTCAGCTTATTATTTTAACTTTTACATAGGGGTTTCTATTTTTATGAAATTTTATCAATAGTCTACAGCCTTCTAGTTAGTAACTTGGAATTCCCTGAAGAGATAGAGTATCGCGTATGCGGAAGAGTTTTGTATTTCTTTTTCTTATGTTGTCTGAAACGATTCGTGTAGATCCATGTTTAAATTATTTATAGCATGTGGCTTTATTAGAATGATCCTGAGTGTGTTCAGTTTTGGATGGATTTTTTTGGGTCAAATTTAGTTAAACAAACATATTGTTGGAGATTTGATGAACATTGAGATGTTTTTGGTTATCTCAAATATGGTTAACATAATTTTTATGTTTAGAATGTTGATAAAGGAAAAATACGCACAAGAACATGCGCAATGAGTTGGAGCTAGCATGTTAGTATGGGAACAAACACTACATATCAGTCGTAATTGCAATTAGTTGTAACACTAATGGAGAGAGTCATTGTGAGCTAGCCATCTTGCTAGCATTTTTCATTGTCTTAGTTGGGTTACGCATAAAATTTCGAGGTTTATGGACTTTAACAATTACTAATGGAATACTCAACACATTGTTGTAAATGAATTTTAGATTTGAGTGATTTTGAAGCAATGAAAAATAAATCTAGTGATGAAAGTCGTAGGTAGCTAGCATGAATTTATTTTTCAGATTAGTTTATTTTTCATTTCTATAATCTGATGTAGCATCTCAGTAGTTGAATTTTAAACGAATTCAAATTATCGAAAAAAATTCATCAATTTTAAGTCTATCCCAAGAACAATTTAACCGTAGTTGAATTTTGAACGAATTCAAATTATCGAATTTCATCAATTTTAAATCTATCCCAATAACAATTCTATCCCAATAGTAATTTAACCATTTCAAGTTTTCAAAGATTATTTGGTCAAATAATATTGATCTAGGGAAGAAGAATGAACACTTTAAACTTAGTCAATTGGTAAATTCCCAAATATCGAACAAAGGACTCCAAAAGATGACTAAGACTCTAAAGGAGTCGATTAAGGAGAGGGGAGGCTAATTTTGTTCGAGGGGAGGTATTGAATGATGAAAGTCCCATATCGACTAATTTAGGGAATAAACATTGAGTTTATAAACAAAGAATACTCTCTCCATTGGTGTTCGAAACTAAATTTTAACATTTTCATCTTAAATTTAAATAGTTAGAGTATCGTAAAATGTTTTTTGAAAATCCTAAAACTTTTAAAAACTCGGAACGTATTACTGAAACGAAACTTCAACGTTTTACGTATTATTGAAACAATGCAAACTGTGGGTGCTCTATATCAAAAAGGTCAAAGAAAAGGATACAAAACTCCTTCCGATATCTCAGTTCAAAAATAGAATAAAGCTAAATTGGTGAAGTTCTCCAAGGAAGTGTCCCACGTACAGCGGTAGGTAAACGGTATCAGTTTTTCTTTAAGCAATAACCCCTTTGTTGAGACTGACCATGCGAGCTGAAGCACCCATCTGGGATCCTCGGACAGAACCAGACTGATAAGCACTCCTCCCCGATCTATATGCAGCGTCTTGATAACGGGTGCTTTGATATCCTCCTGCATTGCCTCCTCGTGACTGACCCGTCCGGTCTCTACCATATCCGCCACCCCCACCTTCGCCACGCCCTCCATTGCTATACCCTGCACGCGAACTACCGCCACCTTGCCTTCCTTGATTGTCTGGCCACCTGCTACCACCACCTACAGCTCCGGCAGCATACTCTTGGTTGTCTCTTCGCCTCATCGGTAAATCTACTCCTCCTATTCTTGCCTCCACTGCCCTCTCATTAGTTTCAGCAAGGATAGACAGCTTATCTGCCAACTGGAACGCCAAGCCCTGTAACCGGGTGAGCGCAACATCATTGAAGATGACACATCCACTTGGCTGATCCCAACTTGCATGGAGCTCCTCATTTATCATCATCTTGCTAACGATACTGTGTGTTTGACCCTCTGCGATGTCGAACATTCGAGTCAGCTGGTCCAAACTCAGAGAATCATAAGAGGAAGAGTACGTGAGAAGGTACGTCCTCAGAGCTTCCACCTTGATCTTTACTTTAACCATTTCCAGCACATCATCACGATTTCTAAGTAGCTTCCATACATCTAGAGATGCAATGACATCAAAAGCTTTTTGGAAATCGCCCTTGCGAAGGGCTCTGGTAGCAGCCATTACATGATCTCTGACATTCTCGGGAGGACCAGTGAACGTTTGTCTCTCACTCACCTCCAGTAACCTTCTAAAGTTCTTGCTAATAACCTTGCGCTTTGCATCATGAACACTGCCTGCCAGGTTGGGAACTTCCAGCAGCATAGCACATATCAAATGCACAGCCTCCAGGAGCTCAAGATTTATGTGCATGTGGTATGGCATCTGCCTCCTCCTTTCAAGCCTTTCCTGAAATTGATTAAGGAAAACAAACAAATAAACAATTTTGTAAAATACAAGTGCTGAAGTATAATATTAGTGGAGCCCATACTTTTAATTTCATTTAAAAATAGATCGATTGCTAATCTGGCTAGAACAATTCAATAAAAAATGGAAACAGGCATCAGCAGATCAATGCTTTAACTAAAAGCTCAATTGAAGTTTGTTGCCAAACAATTATTTTACATGAAAATACAAGAATTAAACTTGGAAACGAGCCAAATTTGTGAAGTTATTCTATAAAAGGAGGAACAAGATGAAATTAGAGGCTAAATCTTAAGATAAAAACACATCATGTTAGACACCTAACAGGGTATGACTAAAGCTCTTAGCTACTAGAATGCCCTACATCACTCTTTCTCCAAATTGGAGTCCATTATGCAAGAAAGAAAACGAATCACAAAGCCACTTATTTATGCAATGCACATACGCTCAGAATTTTTGGACAATGATTCTCAATATATTCGAATAGCATCTTACATTTCCTAGGGAGGTAAAGGAATTTTTGGATAGGGCCTTAACGTACCACCCTTTCAAGAATGCAAAAGTCCTATTATGGAAAAATCTCATCATGGCTTTCTTTTGGAATGTGGAAAGAACGAAATCAGAGAATATTTGTAGAAAAGACACAGACCTACACAAAACTTTTTGACAATGTTGTTTACCAAGCTATATCTTGGTGTAAACATTTTTACTTCCTATAGTTATACTTCCCTATTTGCAAATTGGGAAGGTCTTTTGTAAACATTATGATTATACATCTCCTTTGCAAATTTTAATCATCAATGGAATTGTCTCTTATAAAAAAAAAAGAAAAAAAAGAAGAAAAAAAAAACTAGGAACAAACGACGGTTAACCATTTGACCAAAGAAATGAGCCTGTAGATTATAAAACGTTGAACTCTCCATTCATTTTCATCACTAACAAGAACACATCTTATCCAGAAGGCATCTAGTCCAATACTAAAACTATGAAGTACCAAGTGAAGGAAAAATTATACTTTACCCAGCGGCAAATTATTGCACATTTAACCTAAAACAAATGTAGCAGAAAGGCCACAACTAATCCATAAGCCATTTTGTCAGATTTTTATCCCACAAAACAAATCAAAATGGTTGCGCAAATAAATGAGATCCATAAATCTCACGTTTGCAATGCAGGGTAAAAGAATTATAAAAGCACCTACCAAGTGGAATACATTAGTAGATACTATCTTTCTAATAAACTTATTTTCTTTTAAAGAAAACACACGTGCTACTTGAAGCACTGGCTACACATGCATCAATACATTAGTCTAAAAGATGGAATCAAGGAACAATACCTGCTCTGGAGTCTTTTCATAATATCGGCTTTGTGAGACACCTTGTGCAAGCAATTCCCTCACCCTCCCACCTGAATATAATTCTGAAAGGCAGCCATGTGCTTCACTAATCAGGCCAACCCGAAATCCACATAGACCAAGTTGAGCCATTGCCCTATTGAAAAGGATCTGTGTTGAAATGTCCAAGTGTTGAATACTATCCTGTAAGTGACTCATCAGTAACAAGTCACTAGAAATATAAAATTCATCAAAGAGCGCATGGTGGTAAATATCACAGAGCATAGCTCGTGCTTTAGTGCGCTCGTCTCCATATTGGTATATAAGGGTCACCAGAATGTCCATAAAAGCTCTACTACTCTCTGGAAAGGTGGGTACACGAGGTACAACCTCCGGCGTGACAATAAATGCAGCAGGGCCCCTAATCTCTTCTGCAACTTTAGCCTCCTCACTAGCATCTCCACTAGCTCCATCTTCGGACAGCTCTGCGAGCTTTCTCATGGCATCATAAACCTCTTGTGGTTTGTAATAGATCAGTTCGACACGTCTCAAGGCAACTTTTGAAGCTGCTTTGTAATCCCCAGTTCGTTCCAAATATTCTTGGACATTCTGAGCAAGAACCATAAACATTGGCTCATCTCTGAGTCTTTCAACATACTCACGTGTATGTGGATCAATACACTGCAAGCTCTTAAAAAACTCAGTGTCAATCCTCTCAACAAAAGCAACCAAGTTTCCCCAAACACGAATTGTGCCCTCATAGTCTGCTGGCTTCTGGCTCTCGTTCTCATCAGGTTCAACCATATCATCCACCACAATGTTAGAATTCTGCATAAGAATGTCAATAATAGAAAGCATATTTTGCACACACTTCTTCCACACACTGATAGGCATGTGCCCACTGAGACCTGGATTAACATCAAATTGAGCAGATATAACACTGAACAAAATCTCAAGCTTCTGTGCAGGGGTCTTAGCAACTCTTGTTAAGAACGTAAGCTGCTCAACCTGCTCAAATCTTCCAGTTCCCTTCCTACCCCGGGCAGCCACAACCTCCTTAAATTTCTTGTTAACAGTGTCCCATGTGATCTCTCTCGGATCCTTCATAAACTGCTTATCCATGAGCTTATCCCGTTTGCTCAACTGTTTCACCCAAGGGCCATCGGGCTCCTCTTGGTCTTCTTCGTCATCCTCTTCATCTTCTGATCCTGACAAAATTTTAGTAGGGTCCTCCTCAATTACAGAATCGTCGTCGTCATCATCATCATCCTCCGTTTCCATCTCATCATCCTTTTCTTCCTCAACCTCAGGATTCTCCCTACACTTTGTAATTAACTCTTCATATTGCCTATTGTTCTTCTTTAGCTTCTGTTTCATTGAATTCAAGGCCTTAGCATTGCTAGTGCTCATTTTCTTCTTAGCTTCCTTATTAGCCATGGCTT